GAAATTATAGATCTCGCCGAACTCTACAAGAAAGGTCCTATGCAATTTTTCCGTATCTCCAAGGGTTTAGGAGTTATTGAGGAAAAACGAAATTTTTTTTCAAAAGTTCGCTGTTTCGACGCTGGGATGGTCGGATTTTGTCAACATCAATAAAATGCCAAATAATGATACTTAACTCATTAAATATCGAAATTAGAAGAAAAGTGCACTATTTTTAATGATAGGAAATGCGTTTTTCCGAGATACATAAACTTTTGGTATTGACTACATAGCCAATACATCCTTAAAATACCTCTGCTCTCCTCGATTTGAAAACACGAAATAGGTGGGTCAAGGAGCGACAAAAATGTTTCCCAGGCTTAAGGGATCGTAGGCTGGTCGACGAGAAGGATCTGAAGTGACTTTTAACTAACCCGAGAAATTATCTGTTGTGCGGCTGCTGCGACACAGGCACTCGGTGTCCTGGACAGTGTCCCGGAACACGGACCTGTCTGAGATATCTACAACGATTTGTGTTTGGGTGTACCTTCCGTTAGCCATGCCGTCGTTCGGCTTCCTTAAAAGTGTTATGAATGATCTGATTTTCTACATCTGATCTTCCGTGTCAGAAATCAAAATATTGAATATGTGAATGATATCTCGAGTTACAGTTGAAATTTTTATTTTACGCACAATAAGTAAAACTTCGTTTGAGAGTACTTAATTGAAAACTTAATTGAAAACCACAGGAAACCTTGTAAACCACGATGCTATTACCATAAATTCTTACCACGTTGCATCATTTCCTGATTCCAGGCAACGTTTTCTCTGGGTGGAAGTCCCAAAAGTCACCCTCCTACATCATTCCGCCATTAAAAGTGAACCGCAACTAGCACAGGAACTGGAAACAAGTGTCCAGCTGGTGAAAACTATCGTTCCGAACGACAACTTCATTCAGACCGCGCGCGGTTATCAGAGAGGGAAGGGGACGACCCGAGTTTTAAAATGTCGGCGAATTTATAAGCTCGGTTATCCGGCTCGCCCGGTATTTATTGCAGTGCTAGATAGATCGTATCGTCTATTCGGAATGCATAAGTTATCAAGCCTGTTTATTACGGACGTGCACGCCATATAGCGCGCCGGGCCATGTCAGCGCCAAGAGAAATTCCGTGTGCATCTTCTTCTTCTAGTACTTCTTCTTCTTCTTCTTCCTCCTCCTCCTCCCCTTCCCTCGCGCTCCTTGCGTGTTGTAGTGTAGTGTTATCCCTAGAAAACGCAACGATCCGTTGACCCGTGTGAAACTCCCACATTCATTACCGCCGGGGCACTGTGTTTCAAACGTCCGCAAGTTCAGACGATTTTTCCGCCGCCGCCGCTGCCTCGTCTCCTTAACCCGTGGGTTTCTACGATTCTCCGGCACAGGAAGAGGTCTTATACGGTCACTCTCCTCCTTCACCTCAAAGGTTTCCATGCCTCTGGAATATTTTCAAACGGTGCACCCATGCGACTACCACAGTAGAAAGCCCTTTAACTTAGCAATTCCCTTCCCTCACTTAAAATTAGAATTATATTCCAATACGAATTTGTCTCAAACTATAATTTTGTTCACAGCCCTCGAAAGACACTATTATCAAATAGGCACAGGAATCGTTGAATGAAATCGTTTCTTGATAGAATTCTCTGATTTATTTCGTTAGTGTATGACATTCGTTAGATGCAAGAATTTCTTTATTTCGTATCGTGGACTACGAGCACCGGGGAGCGGTGTGTCGCTTGCGCCATGTGTGGACACGTGTGCCATTTAGCAACACGGCCGCCTAGTTAAGTCAAACAGCAGGCCACGATAACGTGGAATCAAGAACGCGTCTCATGATCATCGCACAATTTACAACGCGCCGTAGCACACTTGTTATATCTTGCGCCACTTATTCTCTGTCAAACGATCGTTAACAAAAAATTCTCGTGGAATAGTAAATTGAAATCGAAAAGTCACGTCAATCTCATATATTTCACGAAGAGTCACGTTTATATGAAATCAGATACATTGACAAATATTATTAATTAATATTTTTAGATTCTTGCACTTTCTATCACAATTTCTAATTTATCTATGATATCTAGAAAATTTGTCGAATGAGTCTTATGTTAGGTTCCCACTTCGAGGTTGTAAGAAACGTGTTCATGAGATTTAAGATTGTAGGAGGGCTGGAAGCATCTCGAAAGCGTCGAACTTTGACTTCCGACAGATGCCTGCTACTACAAGCAGGAGAGGACGAAACGGTAGGGTCCTCCGGGTCCGCGTTAATTTCGGACACCCGTTACAGGGCCGAGGATCGTCCAAAGGGTGAAAAAACGGTGCCGTGGACCATGTTGGTGACGATGCCCGCACACCGTCCTCCCTCTGTCTCTCTCGCTTCTTCCCCCATAGCCCTAACAACGCATCCTGTTCGGGGTTTTAAAGATTATTTTTACTGCGGGACAAAAAAGATCTGTCTGGCGACTCGGCGACGTGCACATGTGCCTCTGCTCGCCACGACGACGAAAGACCAAAGACGACGACCACGACGAGGACGACGACGACGACGACGATGATGA